TGCTGAACGTGACGCTCAGGTTCCTACTTGCTGGTATGGTTTCTTTACCTCTCTTGGCAAAGCACAGACCTGGTGTAAGAGGTGATTTCCAAAGTCAGTTTCACATGAATGAACTAAAAATGTGGATTGACGAGCCTGAAGGTCAAATTCCACCGTGATAGTTTTAACGTGCTGCGATGGTCAGGACGGTGTCTGAAGTGATGTGCAGAATTCTGTGTGTAAAATAAGCGGGTGCAGCTGGAAAGCTTTCCCTGTTCTACAGTGTGAGAAGGCTGAGGAGCCCTGTAGGTGGGGCTTGAGGACTTGGTAGGACCGTTTCCTCTGTCATTCGCAGGCAGATGCCTTCCCTGAAGCATGGGTACAATTTGGCATCTCCCACATCGCAGCTGCGCCACACTGGGGCTTTTTACCCATCCTTAACAATCTCAGTGGTGGGATACTGTGCTGGTTTTGACTAGGACAGAGTTTGTTTTTAACAGCGAGAAGAGCTCTGTGTTTTGGATTTAGTCTGGGATTTGTTAGGAGAAGAATATTGCTAGCGCACCGGTGTTGATAGTTGGTGCTGAGACATCAAGGACTTTCCAGCTTCCCGTGTTTCGCCAGTGTGCAGGAGCACAGAAGGCTGGGGGGGAGCATGGCTGGGGCAAAGGGCCCACAACTCCCCTTAGGATTTGGATTTAGACTTAGGATTGAGGCCAGACTGGCCAATGGAGTATTTGATATCGTGCAACGTCGTGCCCAGTGTATAGATGAGGGTTGACTGGGAAGTGGGGAATTCATTCTCTCTCTTTTGAGGGTCTTTTTCAGTCTCTTCTTGCACTCTTGGAGACAGTCTCTGTCTCTTGCTCTCTTTATGGGACTGGTCTGGGATCGTGGTTTTAGGACCTGTTTTGGGATCACCTGCTGGGACGGGACAGGGTTTGGTCACTGGGGAGCGAGCAATTACACCGTGACTCACTCATTTGTGTATGTTGTTGTCGTATTATGTATTTATTCATATATTACTATTATTCTATAATTATTACTTTCACATTGTTGTTATTATTGTATTGTTCTTACCTCAACCCACAGGTCTCCTTCCCTTTTCCCCTTTAATTCTCTTCCCCATCCCCTGGGGTGGGGGAGGATGAATGAGTGACATTCAGTTGCCAGCTGGGTCAAAGCATGACAGGTACCTTTAGGGAGTGGAATATATTAATTTCTAGAAGTGGAATATATAAATTAATATTAGACAATTACTAGAAATTACTAGAAGCGTGATCCTGTGTCTTTTCACCAGTAGCTCTTCCTGCAGCTGGACTCCTGTGGGACTCCTCCATCTTCTCCAAAATGTTGTGACCTGCTGTTGCAGAGAAGCGGGGAAGCACTGGGTGCTGGTCAGGGACCCCCTCGCCTGGCATGAGAGAGAAGTGCCCTTTCAGATTTGCCGTGGGCCTTCCCTGGTGAGGGGGCTGTCACCATCAGCCTGTCACCGAGTGCTGAGATGTTTGGTTCCTCCTGCTAGTGTTGTTTTTAAACTTTGATTTCTTTTCGGTCACAAACAGTGCTCTTACACCTCTGCGGTGGGGTGTGTTGTGTCTTCTGGGGCACAGCAGTTTAGAGCACCTGTTACTTAAGCACCTCTTACTTAATAACTCCTGTTACTGTTGATCTTTGAGGTCCTTCCAACCCAAACCATTCTATGATTCTAAAGATAAAGCTTCTCAAAGATAACTGTGTTTTGCTGGGAAATTGTAAGCGTGCGTAGTGCTGGCGAGCAGATGGAGGAGAAGGACAAATGGAACCAAATATTGCCACAGCTGATAAAAAAGAATGGGCTCTTCATGGATGTTTTTATTTGCTGTTCAGGCCGTTAGCAGAAAACACTGGAACAGCTGTTTCCCAACTGTGTCGGAGTTGAAGGAGAATGTTACGGAGGCTCCCATGATAGCAGGTTAATGGTTATGTAACAGCAGGCTACCCACAGATTGTCCTGCTTGGATTTCCTGCTGCTGTGTCTCTTGTTGCTGGGCTGTTTATATGAAGAAAAGAAACCAAGGAGGAGAAATCCAAGATTTAACAAACTGAAGCCTCTGGGTCAATTGGGATTTTGAGACGTGAGCTCTGTTGCAGGTGGGAATGGAGAGGTGCCATACCTCTGAGAGCCAGGTCTCTTCCATCCCAGCAGGTGGGAGCATCTCCTGGGTTAAATGGAGCCTCCAGGCATTTCTTCTTCTCCTTAAACTGATTTGAGTTTAACCCTCTCCTTCCTAAAAGAATTTTCCTGTTCAGGATTCTTTTTAGCATTGAGCCTTCTCCTTTGATATCACCAGCTGTCTATGACCTGCTGCTGGCAGAGAGGAATGTACACCTTCCAGGCATAAATTAATGACTTCCCAGCCTCAACGTTGGAGTGTTAAATCAGGGGATTTCCAAATCAAACCCCTCTCTCCTGGTCTCCTTTCCCATGCAAGGAATTGCAAACTCCATGTGTTGCCTTGTGGTGAATCCCAGTTTTGTTTACATCCCCACTTAGAAGAGACTGGAAGTTCTTGGCAATTTTCTGCTATCTCATTCATCTCCTGGAAGTGTTTTCTCGCTGGACATATTTTTCATGGGTGTGATTTTTTTGGGCAGTGCTGTGTGTGCTGCAGTCATTGCTCTGGGAGCTTACTGAACAGGATTTTTGTTTTTTTTTTCTAGTTTCCATGGTGTTGACTGGAAATAACATACCCGTGTGGCTGCTACTCTTTGTGTTGGTTTCTTGGCTTAGTGTTTCTTGGTTTAGAAAGCCTGGTGATAAGTGTCCCTGCCCCTCCCCTCATTAAATGGGACTGGGATGAGCTTGCCTGTTCCAGGGTCAATCTCTGTGCTCATATTATTTATCTAACAGCTCTAATGTGAAGTTAAAACCATGCCCTAGGACTGTCCCTTCTCCCCGTGGGAAGTATGCCAAAGAAGCCAGTTGCCACCAAGCCATTTCCTTTGCCCCGTTAAATGGAGAAATCTCAACTCCAGTGCAGTAACTCAAATGCATTTAGTGCATCTGGAGAGGAGAATTCAGAATGGGAAGATCTGTGGGCAGGACATGGTCTTACCAGTTGAGATCAGCCCAGTATCCTGGGCTGTATCAAAAGGAGCGTGGCCAGCAGGTTGAGGGAAGTGATTCTGCCCCTCTACTCAGCTCTTGTGAGACCCCACCTGGAATACTGTGTTCAGCTCTGGAGTCCCCAACACAAGAAGGACATAGAGCTACTGGAACAAGTCCAGAGGAGGGCCACGAAGATGATCAGAGGGCTGGAGCACCTCTGCTATGAAGACAGGCTGAGAGAGTTGGGGCTGTTCAGCCTGGAGAAGAGAAGGCTCCGGGGTGATCTTATAGCAGCTTTCCAGTACCTAAAGGGGGCCTACAGGAAAGCTGGAGAGGGGCTTTTTACAAGGGTGTGTAGTGATAGGACAAGGGGCAACGGATATAAACTGAAAGAAGGCAGATTTAGGTTAGATATAAGAAAAAAATTCTTTACATTGAGGGTGGTGAGGTACTGGAACAGGTTGCCCAGAGAAGCTGTGGCTGCCCCCTCCCTGGATGTATTCAAGGCCAGGTTGGATGAGGCTTTGGGCAACCTGGTGTAGTGGAGGATTTCCCTGCCCATGGCAGGGGGGTTGGAACTAGATGATCTTTGAGGTCCCTTCCAACCCAAACCATTCTATGAGATGGCAGATTAGACTTGAGCTGAGGATGTCGATTGTGGCAGCTTTTAGCCCAACTACAGCAGGTAGCAGGTGCAGAGTTTGGTGGAATAAAACTGTGCCGTGTCTCGCAGTGTTTCTGAAGGAGCTTAAAAATCACTTGGTTGCTGGTGCCTGTCTGTAGCCGTGAACTGACGACAACTTGTGTTATTTGCTGATTTCCAGGCTGCCAGAGCTGCAGAGGGAGAAGGCAAGCAGAGATTCTTCACTCAGGATATCAACAACATCATACTGGAGTAAGTGCCGCCAGGAGAGAAGAGTAGGAAAGGAGAATATTAGGCAAAGCATTTTTGGTGCATTCAGGAGCAGGTTTAGCAGGAGTTGTGGAGCTGTCCTCATACAGGTTCGTCACATGCCTAGGTTAACCTTAAAGTCTCCTAGAAACAGCTTTCAGATGAGATATGATGTATACCTGAGGTAGGAGAGCGTTGGAGGGGATGTATCCGGGCCTCTTGTTCTGCAGATCATGCTTGTTATCCGTGTGCTTAAATTTAGTCCCTTGACCTGTGGTTGTAGCTTGATACAAGAACTGTAAATCTCTCCCTGTCAGAGATGTCAGGCATGTTCTTTGCTACTGAAGCTCTATGCTATATGGAGGACTTTATAACTGGGATAAGGCTGCTGTGTTCGACTGGCTTTCTGTGCAAACTGGAGGAATTCCATTACTGCTCTGTGTTTTCCAGTCCCCTAATTACGGAATGCCAGTGTTGCTGCACGCAGCTGTTGATAATGGCTTCATTCTTCTTCGAGTGCCTGGAGAAGGCTGCTGAACGCACACGGTGTTGTGCTCATCGCAGTGCAACAATACTCACACGAGGCTTTAATTTCATTAAGGTTTATCAAGGCACTTGAAGGGAGTTGCCGAAGGGACGTTTGGGAGCCCGTTTCCCTCTCGTTTCAAGTGCTGATTACCAGCTTTCAGCGTTCCAGTGCTGACTGCACACCCTGTCCTAGTCTGTTGGCAAACTGATAACTTTAACCACATGCAGAAGAGATCTAGATGGATTTGTATGACTTTACCAGAGAATGAGTTTGGGGTTTTTACACTTATTATTGATGCCAAGAGGTGGCTTAAAAAGCTAGTGTCTTAAGTTACATATACCTGTGTAGATGGGTTTGGCACAAACCGACCTCTCTAACCCACTCATTGGGAAGTAAGTTCAAGCCCAAGATGTCAAGTTTGATTCTATATTATCCTGAGTTAGACCGCTGAGATATCTGACATAAGCAGTGTGTACCTCTCATTTCATTGCCTGACAGTCCTGCACTTCGGTTGCCAGGAAGAAATGCAGAATAAATAGGACTGCTGACATCTTTTTATTCCTTTTCCAGATACTCTGAAACTAGAATGAAAAGCAGAGCTTGAGATAAAGGGCTTAAGTCTGTCGATTCTAAAATCTCAAGAACTGTCGTGGAATTTGGCTTGTACTTTGTCCCTCTCTCCCTGCCTCCAGCTCCCCAGGTTGCATCCAATTTGCATTTCTGTTGCTTAGAGAACCCCTGCCAGATCCTTGGTCAACATTGTGTTTGTCTTGTTCCTCAGCATAGAGCTGCAGACCCGGGAGCTGAACAGCCAGATCCGGTCGGGGGTCTACGCCCACCTGGCTGCTTTCTTCCCGTGCAGTAAGGACACTCTGGTCAAGCGTGCCCGTAAGCTTTATCTCTACGAGCAGGTGAGTGAATTTGGCAGCAGAGCCCTGTCTCGTGTGCACGTTACCCCTGATCTACGGAGCACAGTTGTTGTCTACCTGATGTGGGGTTGTCCTTCATTGAGCATGGTTCAGGCACCACATCTGGTGGTGTGAATTCAGAGCTGGCCAGGTCTTGGCCTGCCAGATTCGGGTGTCTCGGCTGGAAGAGACAGCATGTGCAACTGGAGTCTGTTCTGTTTTGTGCTCTAGGGTGGCCGATTGAAGGAACCTCTACAGAAGCTGAAGGAAGCCATTGGAAGGGCCATGCCAGAGCAGATGGCCAAGTACCAGGAGGAATGCCAAGCCCACACTCAGGCCAAGTTTGCCAAGTAAGCTCCTCGTTTGCTCGTTGTGCATCTGTAGCTCCTCTGGGCAGGCTCCCTGGGACCCCCACGCTGCTCTTATGAAGTTTTCCCCCTATATTTGTTCTGTAGTCAAAAATTGCTGATGGGCATTAATTGGTGTAATTAAGCTGTGTGCGTTCTGTGTGCCATCTGTGGTGATGCCAACTATAGCAGCAGTGATGGGACCAGAACTTGGCTGTAGTGTTTCACTTCTGTGCGGGCGTGTTTTTAGGAACAGGGCAGTCTGAGAACAGTCAGGCTGGATTAGTCCCGTGGTCTCTATTGCAGAATATTCTGAACTTGAGCCCTGAGCTCAGCTTGTGCCCCGTGCAAGAGATTGAGGCCCTCTTCCCATGTGGGTGTTATCATGGACTACGGAGACCTCTGAACACCACTGTGCAGAGACACTTAATCCTGTCCTTGAATCCCCAGGGCAATGACTTTCACATTCTCTTGTCTCCATTTTAGGATGCTGGAAGAGGAAAAGGACAAAGAGCAGCGGGATCGAGTTTGTTCGGATGATGAGGAGGATGAAGAAAAGGGAGGGAAGCGTGTCACGGGACCGCGAAAGAAATTTCAATGGAATGATGAAATCAGGTTTGCATAACTTGGATATCGAGTGAACCTATGACTTGTCTGCTTCTGTGTGGTTGGAAGTGAAGCATTTCAGTATTTGTACCTTGTTTTCAGAGCAGTGCTGATCATCCGTAGTAGCAGTCAGCTTGGAGGTTCGTGGCCGACTCTGCTGTTTGTGGAAGCCACTATTGCATTTGTTAAATCTCACCCTTACACACGTTGCAAAACTAAGCTGATTTCAGGCACGGACCAACTCTGAGAGAAGTGCAGAGGCCAAAAGGGAGGGACAGATCTTTGGGAAAAGAAGGAGCTCAGCTGAATTGCTGAAATCCGACAGACTGGACTCTTTGCAAGACCAGACTGGTTGTGAAAGCAGTTAAAGCCAGTGGGGATTGCTGCCCCCGGCACCCAGGGCCTGACAAAGAACAGTGCTGGGGGAAGGGGAGAGAGCCAGAGGGTAAAATGAGAACCAATCCTGCTGTCTTTTTCATCTTATTCTGGAATAAATTGGGGTGCTGCTCCGCAGGTGGCCGATGCGTTTGGAACAGCACAAGCTTCGCTTCCTGCCTTCTCGTTGCCTCTCAGCACGAAGGTCTGCAGAGAGGTTGAGTTGTGCGGTCGTTAACGAGCCCCGTAATCCTGGCACTGGTTTCCCACCTCTGCTGTTCCAGGAGATCAAAATGGGAAGGGGTAACAAGGGCTTTCTCCCCCAGCACATGGATGTGCGTGCACCCACGGAGCGAGGGACGTGCTTTTCCCTTCCTCTTTCTCGCGGAGGCAGCGCAGGGTCGGTTTTGTTAGCGAGGTGTTTGGCAGAGCCCGGCGCGTCTCGGCGCGTTTATCCAGCCCTGGCTAAACCTCCAACTGGGGAAAGGGAATCCGCGTAACTGTGTTTGAAATCTTCCTGTTCTTCAGGGAGCTGCTTTGCCACTTGGTGAAGATTAAGTTGGATGGTTATGACCTTGACAAGAATAAGGCTCAGTCTCTAGAGGATTATGTGAAGACCTTCCTAGATGGAGAGGTGAAGCCCCTTTGGCCAAAAGGCTGGATGCAGGCCAGGTGAGCAAGACTCCAGTTGTACCGCAGGGATTCTTTGTCTGCAGGGACCTCGGAAGGTCGTTAGTCCTACCCCTGCTCAAAGAATGGCTAGCTTCAGAGTTAGATCGGAGTACTCGCGGCCTTGTCCTGGGGAGTTTTGGAAATCTCCAAGGGTGGAGATTACCACAGCATCTCTGAGCCCCTATCCTAGTCATTAAACACTCTTCATGAAGTCTTTTTTCCTTATTTCCAATGAGAGTTCCCCTTGATGCACTGAACTGAATATTACCTCTTTTTGCTTTTTACTGTGCACCTCTGAGAAGGATCTGGCTCTATCTTCTTTGTGGCTCCCCACCCCCACCTCCACCCCCCTTTAGGTAGTGGAAGACTGCTGTTAGATCTCACTTTGGTCTGCTCATTTTTCAGGCCAAGCAAACCCAGTTCCCTCCACCTCTCCTCGTATGTCATGTGTCCCCGTTCCTCAGCATAGTAGTGGCTCTGGGCTGTCTCCAGTTTGCCAACATCTCTCTTGTTTTGTGGGGACCTTGAAACTGGATGCTCTATCCAGATGTGACCTCACAAGTGCTGAGAAGAGGGGAATAAGCAGTTGAACTGCTGGTTACATTCTTCTGAATACCTGCTAGTGTAGAGTTAGCTCTCAGCAGAACACCCTTGCAGCAGTGGCTCATATCCACCTTGTCCACCAGGACCCCAGGTCCGTTTCTGCACGGCTGCCACATACCTCGTTGGCCCCCAGCCTGTGTTGCTCTGTGATTATTCCATCCCAGCTGCAGAACTTCGCGTTTGTCTTTGTTGAACTTCACAAGGTTTGTGTTGGCCCCTTTCTCCAGCCTGTCTGGGTCCCTGTGAATGGCAGCCCTGCCCTCCAACATGTTCTCATCCCTCCCTCCGTTTTCACGTCACCCTCAAACTTGCTGAGAGCTCAGTCTGTGCTGTTGTCCAGGTTGTAAATGACAATGCTGAGTAGTCTTGGCCGCAGTATTGACCTCTGATGGATACCACTGGCAGTGACAGGTTGCAAGGTAGAACTGGGACTGAGGTGAGGCTGACTGCCCTGTGGTTTCTTGAATCTGTATTACAAAGGATCACTTGTAATCTGTCTCATGAAGGCCACGTTTTTCAGATACTTTGGGAAGTCTTCCCTAGACCCAAGAGTATGCCCAAAAGAAAGCAAAGCAGAAAGTTTTAGGGGGTTATGGGCTTGCACTAGACACATCAGAGAGTCAGCAAAGCAAGTAGGAATTTGGTGTGGTTTTCTTTAACCTATCTGGTGTCTTCACTGCTGCTTCCTGCTCTTTCACACCCTCCACCATCCATGCCATTGAGCGGGCAATTGCAGAGAGCCATACAAATTGCAGAGGGTCCTTCTGCTGGGACTGTCATCAGCTTCTGCCTGCTTTATTGTGCTCAATAGTTTTAAAGAAAGGACAACTGTACAGTCTCACTGCTGGAATCTCTGTCTCTTTGCATTTAAAGAGCTGGGCGGCGCTGTCTTCTCTCTGCTGAATTTGCTTTTTGGGTTTCATGGGGGATAAAGGAAGAAGTAGGTGCCGGTTCTTAAGAGCAGTAAGTACAAGTAGGAAATTACAGATCTGTTTGGCAAAGTCTATGGTCATGCACGTGACGTACAGTAGCGTGCAGGGTTGTAGTGTGGTGTTTTAGGGTATGGGAGCTGAATGATGATGTTAAGAGGTGGGTGCAGATTCCTCCTTAGTTAATGAAGATATTACCAGCTTGGGGGTCTTAGTTTTAAAAGTTTTAAAACCTCTTTTCTTTGTATAAAGGGAAATTAAAACCTTTTCACCCTAGTTTGTAGGTGAAACTGTTCTGAGGCATACAGATGTTCACCTAAAACTCAGTGTAGGAGGGCCCTCCAGTGAAGTTAGCTACAGAACGACTGACTGAAAGTGGTTTTCCTGGTTGCTTTCCAATGGCTCAAGGACAATAGTTTCTCCTGCTGGGACTTGATGGAGTTGGGCTTGATCTTTATGGGTCCCTTCCAACTTGAGATATTCTGTGACTTTGTGGTTTGTAGACAGAGGGTAGACTGACAGCCACACAGAAGGGGAGGGATTTGCAACACTAGGAGAATCGTAAGCAATGTGTGGACAAGTCAGCTTGATTCGCTGGCGTCACGATCACAGAAGTTCATCTTTAGGAAGGGCTTGAAGATGGACAGAGTAGCAACTTTGTGTGTTGAGTTCAGAGAGGCCTTGCCATGATTGGACTAGATGACCTTTGAAGGTCCCTTCCAGCCCTAATCATTCTATGATTCTATGATTCCGTTTTCTCAGTGCTAAAGGACGAGTAACGGAATACAAGGTTAAAATAAGCTTCCTTTTTAAAAGAAAAAGGGTGATGAAAGTCTTTGTTGGGCTCTTAATAGCAGATGGGAAGCGTATTCCGTGTGCCAGTACTGAAGGTGTATTTATAAGCTTCTCACTGTCCCATCTAAGGTGGCAGCTGTTTTAGGTGAAGCAGTGTTTGTGTGAGGTTCTGGTTTACTTGGCCTCAGTAGTAAAGGGGTCTGGGACAAGCTGTCCTTACTGGTTGTGGTTAGTCAGTTGTTACAGAAATGGTTGTGCTGATTTAAGAAGTCACCTCAGCTGTTTGCTGGGGGTGCAGAAGCAACGGAGACATCCTGTGGGTGAAGGCTTCTCATCCGGGTTGCTGTACGGAGGCAGGGGAAGGTAACCTTTCTCTCTCGAAGTTGGTGAAGAGCTCTTTTATGATCTGCCAGCTCTTGGATGATCTGTGGCAGCAGTAACGCCCAGCTTGAATGATTGTACTGCCTCTCCAGTTGGCTGCCAGCTGTTTAAGCTGGCAGAGCTTTTTCCTTAGTTAATAACTATTAACTGCCTTAATGGCCTTTCCAGTGCCTACAAGTGTAGCTCCTCAGAGAGGCAATTGTGTTTTCTTTCCTGGACAAGGGATGAATATTTGTGTGCTCTCTGTGGTTTTAATTTCACTGAGTCCCCTGCCGTACTGTGCAGCTCTGTCTCCAGTGATCCCAGCTGCTCTACTGGCTCTTGCTGGATATCACTTCTCATTGCTCTCTTCCCTTCTTAGGACACTGTTTAAGGAGAGCAGGCGTGTACATGGACACCTCACATCAGTCCTGTGAGTATCGTGCAGCATTCCTTTGGAGTGATAACTGGTGAACTCCGTTCCCTGGGGCCCGGGTGGATCATGCAGGAGCACCTGAGCTTGCTTGGCTCCCAGCAGATAGTTTGGCGCTGCTTCAGCCGGGGAGGTGTAGGGAGAGTAGCGTTTTGTGTGTGACATCTCCCAGCAACAGCCTTCCTGAGGTGCTTTCGCCTTACAGTAAGCTCAGAGATCAGAACTTGGAAGCCAGGTTGCCCCCTGGCTTCGTTCGACAGGCTGGAGTCAGGCCTCTGTGCTCGTCCCTGGGAGGCAGATCAAGGTAAAATGGAGCATGATGCCAGCACTGGGATTATTGCTCCCTGTTCAGTTGGTCCGTACTGGATCCTGGATTCCCTCTTTCTTGCTGCCTGGTTAAAGGAGGGCTACAGTGAGCTCAAGGTGGTGAAGGTGGGTGCGACAGGCTTGTGGGTGGCAAACCAAGAGAGCTGTTGGAATCCAGCTGGGCAGGTGCTTTAATGCCAAAGGGTCTCGTGGATCTTGCTGGCAGTCTATGATAGATGACGATACGGACGTAGGCTGGTGTCTGTTTGACAGATGGTCCTGTTCTTGGCACTGGATGAGCGAGGGAAAGTGTGAGAAAGAGTATGAAATAGAGTGTAGAGTCATCCTTCGCTCAGCCATATCATTCCAGCAGTTCAGGGATGTCTTGTACCAGAGATTGCGCATCTGTCCGGACCAAATGATCTATTTTCTGTGAATTTGGCAGATGCTTTTGCATCCTTGACTTCTTCTGGGAACCTAAAAGGAATGTCTAACCTGTCTCCAAAACAGTCTCTGTATCAGTTTCTCTCTGGATATTGCTCTAGTTAGGTCAGCAGTGGGTTCCTGTAGTAGCTCCTAGCCCTGCAGCTGGTGCAGGACGTGTCTGTTGAGTGCTTTCACTGCTCTGCTACCATTTCAAGACTCTGCTCCGCTCCCTAATTCATTCCCCTATATGGGAGTTGGGGCTTCCTAGAGCAGCAGCTGATTGTCATGCGGTTTTGAATCCTAGCAACCTGAGATGCTGCCTCTGTTCCCTCGGTTCTTTGCAAAAGACTCAGTGGATCATCATTAACAGGGCCCAGGTGTGCTCCCTAATTGGATGCTTCCCTTTGGGCATTCAGTAAGCCATGTTTCTTTTGTTTCCCTCAAAACAGGACGAAGAAGAAAGTTATAGCTCCTCCTAAGGTGAAAGTGAAGGTGAGTTCTTTGTTTTCTCCTTCTCATGGATGACGTACACCAAGAGTCAAGTGACTGCCATTTAAAATCCTATACTTGAGCCTTGTATCTGTACGTTAGGTACACGTTGGACTGCGAAATAGATCTAGTCAGTGTTGGGCTTGAAAAAACAACTAGAACAGCAGCTGAAATTGCTGGCTGCACAGTGGGGAGGGAGACAGGGGGCCGGCAGGCACAGAACGTGCCTATTCTGCCTTTTATCCCCGAATCGGGAACCTTCCCTTCCCTTCTCAGCAGTAAACCCTGCCTCTGCTCTGACTCTGCCTTCTGTCGTGATTTTGGTTCCAGGAATCTTCCTGCAAGCCAGACAAAAAGCTGTCGGTTTCTGTTCCTTCGATGCACTCAAGCAGCACCTTAACTCTGTCTTCAGAGCCCCAGGGAGGAGCGCTGGGCATCAGCGCCCAAACCAGAGAACTCTTGTCCCTTGGGACAGCCCAAGCAGCCAGCAGCACTGGCACTCCTGCCACCTTCATGGATGACTCCTTGGATGAGGACTTAATTCATAATCCCACTTCCTCCCTGGAAGCAGTCTCTAAGGAACTGGCTGTGCTGAACAGCAGAGCGGGAGGGAGCCCTGACTTTACTCTTCCTGGAGCTCCAAAAGCTCCACCAGAGAAGATCCCATCTCTTGCATCCTCAGAGGAGAAGAGGACATTTCCAAAACCCAACCCTTCCCCTACATCATCCTCTGGTTCCCTCCAGTCTCCTCTAAATTTCCTGGCTGAGCAGGCCCTGGCATTGGGCCAGTCCTCTCAAGACAAAAAGACAGAGAACTCTAATTTCAAAGAGCTCCCCCGCCAAGCCTCCCCCAGCAAAATCCTTCCCGATGCACACCAGGCTAAGCAGAAACACCACAGCCTGGTCCGGCCAAGCCATGGGTCCCAGACCTCCACCCCAGTGCCGGCTTCTCAGGTGAAGGTCTTTCACTCAGGCAGCCAGCTACAGAAAACCTTCACCACCCCGGCTCCGTTCGTCAAACTGCAGAACCCCAAGTCCTCCTCCCCACTGCCCCAACGCTCCCTCCTCCCGCAGGTCAAGTCATCAACCAAAGCTCAGAGCTTCCATTCCTCTGCGTCGCCAGGCAGCGCCCAAAACTCCAGCAGCTCCCACAAGAGCCCAGGCTCATCCTCGTCGTCTCTCAGCTACGCAGGAAAGCACTCGAGTGGCTCTAGCTCTTCAGGACAATCTTACAAATCGCCCTTCGTTTCTGGTTCCCTCTCCAAGCACGGGGCTTCTTCCAGCAGCTCCGCATCTGGAGCTTCTGCAAACCAGGGCTGCTCCTCCGGGAGCTTGCTGCCCAGCGTGCAGACCCCTTCCTCGGGCCAGGCGTCCAGCCGCCCGTCCTCAAGCTCCTCGGTGAAGAAGACGCCCGTTTCGCAGAAGCTGACTCTGGTGGCCCCTCCTGGAGGTTCCAATGGAGATTCTAGCGGGGGCACTCAAGGGGTGGCCAAATTGCTGACTTCCTCCCTAAAGCCAGCTGTTGTTAGCAGCACCGCATCTTCTACCTCAGTGCCGGTAAGCAGAGGTGTGCCGGCTGAGCCTCGAGCCGGGAGAACGCCTGGCCTTGTGTCAGGCCATCTCCTGACTTGTTCAGACCTGCCGTAAAGCGATGACTTGAAAAGAATTTCCTGAAATTCTTGAATTGACTGTCTGGATCTCGGCTGCTTGGGCTAGGAAGTCCTGGCCTTTGCCGTGGGGTTGCACTCCAGAATTCAGGCTTTCATTTTCAGCTTAAAGTAACAACTCGGCAGAATACTGTGGCACCTTCCAGATGGCAATTTTTGGGTCGGGTGTGTAGTGTTCTTGCCCTGACTTTGGGAGTTCTGGGGACAGTAGGGCTCCTGTTTGGGTCAGGAGGAAGTGCAGTAAGGCAAGCTATCACGAGAGTGAACAAACATTGCATAAACTAAAGTTATAAGGATTGATTTGTTGTTAATTAGGTCTGCAAACTTGGCCTTCACAAGTAATTTTAGTATTATTGCCACTCTTTTCCACGACTCACCTATAGAATAAAGAACATCTGATACTGGGCTATAAACTTGAAATGCTTGCCCAGTGCCCATCTGTCTGCAGTGGTTCTCTCTGTCCGCTCTCCGTTACTGCCCAGTGACTCCCATAAGCTGCTGAAGGGATGTTTGGGATCGAGCTCAGTGGCACACTATGGAATTCAGAGTCTGAGTTCATTGGGATATAACGTCTCATGAAAGACTCCTGGGTTACCTATACAGACTTGTATTATTCAGTCATTGTATTTAATGGTGTAAGTACCTTAATTTTCACCTATAGCAAAGAAGTAATCGTTTTTAACACTGTTTTATTAATTTGTTGTTGGCTGCTCATACCTGCTGCCTTCTGTGGCATGTGGAAAGAGCTGGGCAATTAAAGGAGTATATTTAAATGGGCTTGAAAACCGTCTACTGCTCAGCCTGTGTACCTGGTCTGTTACTAACACAGGGAGCTGGAAAGCATTCCCCAGTGGTATCTCTCTTAATAATGTTGTTGGGTGCAGGGGTACATCAGACCTTGGTGCCTTGAGTTGCCAGCAGTGATATGGTGCTAGAAGTGAGTAGGAAGCATCCTCCCTGGAACTCACAGGCAATGTGTAAGCTTTCCCTCTGCCTAATGGAGACACAATTCCAGAGTATAAGGGAACAGCAAGTATGAAATCCATAACGGTCACGTTTAGAAGAGCACAGCATCCAGCAGCTGGATTGCCAGTGCCCTGGGCACCTCCAGAGGGCTGCAGGAGCTGGCAGCTTGTGGGGCCTGGCTGGGAGGGGGCTTCTTGCAAGGAGGAGCACTTGAGTGCCCCGTGTTTTGTACTTCTTTAAGTACAAATGATGCTATGCCTTAGTTTTCCTACTCCTGACTGACCTTTTCTCTTGCTTTTCAGAAAGGAACTAGTGGAGCTGTGCTGCTAACGAGTTCTTCCTCCTTAAGTGTACTGGCTCCATCCTACAAGTCCAGCAATCCAAAGCTGCCAGCTGCCCTGAGCTCCACCCCATTAGGTATTATCTCTCCTGTTCATTCCTTCCCTCTTCATGTCATCTCCTTCACTTCAGACTCCTCCCCAAAAGCAGGAGTATCAAAGGATGCAATAGTTACAGGACCTGCTCCAGGAACTTTCCACCACGGCCTTGGCCACAGTGAGTATCCTTCCTGGTCATGCTGTGTGCTACTTGTGCTTGTGCTGTGAAATAACAACAAGAACAACAGTGCTTTGCTGTGTTAACCCATTGCAGACCAGCCCATCTCTCTTGCTGTCGCTTCATGCTGTAGTTCATGCACTTGTATCTCCAGCAGTTGTGTTTGGAGAAGCTTGAGTGCATCCCTATAGCTAGTCCAGAAGACCTGGTAGCTGAGCTATAGGCTAACTGCTGCAGCTTCTCTGCTCGTTTCTGTCTTCGATGTGTATTTGTTCTTTTTTTCCCCCCCGCCTCCTCTCTTTGTTTTTCTCTCTAGGTCTTCTAGCTGGCTTGCACTCCAGCCCCCACCATGCCGCGCCACTCCCACATTCTGCCCTGTCCACTCATTTACCGCAGAGTTTGCCAGGTAACTTGTCAGACGGTCGCGTTTGTCCTCTGCGTCGTGAGTCGTCCTGTATCTCAGATACTTCCTCTAGGGGTTGTCCACGTTGTCCAACCAGTACGGTCGTCGCTTAGGCCCGAGGTACAAAGCAAGGTGTAGCCCTCTGTGTCCTTTTTCTTGTTTAGTTAGCCAAGGCAAACTTGTGCCTTTCTGGAATGATGAGCCCTCAGTGCTTCCAGCAAGAGTTGGCTCCTGGAGGTGCTTGGCTTTGCTGCTTGCCTCGTGGTGAAGAATTATCCTGCTAGGATTAAAGCTGGGGATGTTTAAGCACAGCCTGCCAGGACGGCCCAGGAATGAATATTCTGCCTCCGTAGAGTTTCGTTACTGGTGACCTACATAAAATGTGTCAGACCAGAACGTCTTGCATCCGTGCGCTGAGCTCATCGCTTACGTATCCCTCGCGACAAGTTCGTAGTGGGAATGGAGACGGCTTTACTTGGCGTTGACAACGTGATGATGGTGCAGTTAAGCCTGTTCCTGCCCCAGTTTGATGCCTGCTGGAGCAATGCATAAAACAGGAGGCTTCTGAAGAGCACCTTCCCTGCTCGTAAACGGAGTCCTGCCTGGCGGGCTGTGAGTGTGTGTAAATATGTAGCACTGTGGAGGAAGGAGAGAAGTAAGGGGGATCTATGGAGCATTCAGGAAATGGAAAAGCAAGGCCAGCAGATTGGGCTTACTGCTTCAGGGAGTTGCTTGTTCCACTGGGAATTGCTGTTTCTGCTTTCTGGATCAGGTGTCCTTTAGCACTTCAGTGCGGTTCGGTGCCGCTGTCTTAGTACCTGCTCCTGCTGTGAGTGACTTACTGGGCAACACGAGCCCGAGTGAGGAGGGGATGTGTCAGCCCAGAGCCGTGGCCATCAGATGTGGGGATAACCTGCTGGGGTTCTCGTGGCCTCCTGTGGCAGTCGTGGGGTAAAACGCCCTGAACTGTGCTTGTTTGCTGAAAAAAGGAGGGGAGTGCTGTGCAGTGGTGAAAACTCAAATAATTTGTTGTCTTTTGCTGAAGTTTGTGTGAGGTGGGTTGTCACGCCGCTCCGATGCGGCGGAGCGGAAGAAGCTATTAGCAGCGATCACTGGTGTGACGGACCCTTCCTGGTGGTAAATTCGTGGTTACTGGAGAGCGAGACGATGGATTTCGGTTTGCAGATGGGATGTACAGTGTACTCCGTGTCACTGAGGAGGAGTTCTCTGTCCTGTTATTGAGGGAATGTAGAGTGCTTGCTTCACGGTTGATTATAGAGCTTATGACAAAAGAATTTTTTGGTGAACTGCTGCTCTGAAGCAGGGCGTAGTGCCAGAAGCTGCGAGCAGACAAAAGGTGACTGGGAGTAAGTGAAGAAAAACTGACTGTTGAGAAGCTTCAGCAGGGACCTGCTTCCTCACTTGGTCTTTTCCCATAAAGATGGGAGGTGGAGCCTGGTGCCATCATCTCTGGGAGTGTTACCAATTCTGGTGCCTCGTAGAAGAACACCGTAGATGTTTAAGTGGCTGCCGTAATCTTAAACTGTGTTAATTTGTTTTGTGCCGTGAACTGCGGTCTGTACAACCAGGTGGCCACAGCTGCATCGCTCTGCCTGGAAGCTACGAGGACTCTGGTGTGTTGAGAGGTCGCTCCGAGCGCGAGGAACATTGGTGTCCTTAAGTGAAAGTGCTCACACCGGCGATCACCTGAAAGCATTTGAGCAAGGGGCGTCCCGTGCTTGCTTGTGCGTGGTCGCTGCTGCGTTGGCTGGTGGAGGTGCCCGCGGGCTGGTGCTGCGGCCACGGTTCTGAGCGCTCGCTTTGGAAACGTGACGTGCTGGGACTGAGCTCTTGCATGGAAAGAACTGTCCTTGGCCTGGAGAAGAAGCTGGTGCTATGCTGCTCAGTGCCACCGCTGCTTAACTGCGCATCTCAGTACACCCATTGGTTCGTCAGAGTCTGACGGTGGTTTCAATTGCTCCTGGGAAACTTCTGCTTCCTTAAACGTCCTTCCTTTTTCTCTCTTCAGTGCATGTTCTCCTTTCCCTCCACGTCTGTTCCTTTCTTTTACTTCAGTGGTTAGATCCCTATGATTCCTGTAGCTATCCGTGGGCACCCAAAGCTGTCATTACAACGGCAAAGGTGTGCTGACGGTGACATTTCAAACCACCTTTAGATGCAAGGCAGCAAGTACCAGGTATTCTAGTTTCCTAGATGGGGAGACATGGTAGGGTGGCTTTTGGAAAAGGACACAGGCTAGCTAGTCAACCAGCAAACCAAGCCTATGCCGTGGTGCTTTTGCTGGGAGGCCACAGGAGACCCTTACTCAGGCGCAGAGGCAGGGCTGCTCCCAGTTGTGTCCTCTTACTCCTTGATTCCTTGGTGCTGGAAGGGAAAAGTGGGTCTTTCTGTGCAGAGAGATCTGGCTGCCCCAGTGGCACGCAGCTCCGTGGAGCTGATGCCGAACCCCGTTCCCACTTGGCTTTCTTTTCTTTCAGATGCTTCTCAGCTTCACGGCAAAGGGTCCAACGCACAGCAGCGCAAGTTGTGACGTCTCGAGGAGGGGAGCTGGAGCACGCAAAGGACAAAACCAAGAGGAACAGGTTGTGAACTTTGGATACCGGCTGTGTCTTTTTTTTTCCTTTTTTTTTTTTTCCTCACAACAACTGGAAAGACTGAACCGCAACGAGGAACTCAGTGGTGCGTTTGCTCAGGGGCTCGCCGAGCGTCGCCCCGCGCAAAGGGCCGCCTTGAGCCGTGCCCGAAGGAGAGAAGCATTTTGTAGCACTGTTTTATTGCTGCTGCCCTTCCCGCATTCCCTGGCGCTGGCAGGAGCTGGAACTCGCAGGGAGACTCGGGTGGCTTGGCTTTCCTGCAGTGGATTCCCACCCACCCGTGTCTGTATCTGCCAAGTACCTCCAAGCCCAGTTACCCTCCAGAGGGAGACCAAGGAGGTATGAAAGGTGCTTCTTCCTTCTGCTTTGGATTTACCTGGATAATTGGAGCACTGCCAGTGCTGTCCGAAGACGTTTGACTGACTTTTCAATTGTTCTGTAAAACTGTGCTACAGTTCATTGGAGGACCTAATGTTTCCTGTGTGGTGAGTCTAACGAACCACCTGATGTTCCCCTCTGGAGGAGAAGGAAGACTCTTTGAGAGACGTTTTTAGCTGCAGTCATTGACTTTGAGAATTCTACTTCTTTTGGGTTTAGGATTTTTTTTTTTTTTCCTCCAAAGGGATGCTTTTTTTCCTGCTCAGTTTTATCTTCATTACCATCGAATGCATTGGATTGAATGGGACACTTCTCGGCATGTCACGTGGATAGGAAGACATAATTCCAGTGCCTTTTATGGTGGAGCAAGAATGGACTAGTGACACACATTTCAGCCCTATTTTGTGTGCTCCTCAACCCTTTTTTAATCATTCTGTATTTAAAATGTATTCTGTTTTATTTAATAGAGCTTTTTATGGTTGCACATCAAAAAAAAAAAAAAAACTGCACTGTCTGGACTTCAATGGTGTCTTGGTGACTGCGAACACAGTACCAAATCCAGCAAGAGCACCAGTTCTCATCCGAGTTTGTGCAGGCGGGTTCCAGACCCTCCCCTAAAGCCATTCTTTCCTCGGGTCGTCAGTTATGATCTCTTTGGTGGGCAGAGGGAATGATCTAGATTAACCAAGGTCACTACTAGTCAAATTCCAGAGAATAATCTTGCTCTCCTCGATGATTTCTGCACTAGGATCATGTGCTTGTCACAGCTGCAGGAATGGGGATCATCTAGAATTGGGGTGTGTCTTGTCTTTTTAATTTTTTAACTTTCAGACCGAAATACTTCTCCTGAGCACACCCTTTCAGTCTGTGCATAGCTAAGGGCAGGCTGGGATTCCAGCTTAGCTTTACTGGGTTTGATTATTTTCTTCTCTTCCCCCAGTCTGCCTTTTCTCAGGCCCTCACAGCCACATCTGAATCGTGCAGTAGTAGCGCTGATCCGCATAGACTTTACTGGTATTTCAACAAAAAGCTTGCAGCCATCCTTCTTGAGCTTTGGGGAAGGATGCTGACACTGCAAATACCTACCAGCAAATACCTGCTTTCGTTTTTCCCCGGTTTCGGTAAGATCCGAGATGGACTGTTTTCAATCTGAGCTGATCCGTAATTTCCCAAGATCAATGCATTGTTTGTATTTTGCGCTTAAAAAAAAAAAAAAAAAAAAAGCAGCTCAGACTTAAAATTTGTTTACAGAAAATACCTAGGTTGTAGCAAAAGAGCCAAAGACAGAACTTGTGTTACGCAAACCAAGCACAGCGGTTACGGATGGACTCTGAGCAGTGGGTGTCGCATGGTTCCCGTCGAAGGCCTAATCCTGAGAGGTGCTTTGCACCTTCAGCTTCCCGTGGTAGCTGAAAGAGCGTTGGGACACCTGGCAGGATAGGGGCTCTCAGAGTGACTCGAGGTACTGGTTCTACTCCCTCTCTTTGCTTTCTCACTTGAATGCTTCTGCTGGGAAGCACCCGTGTGCGTGGCCGGAGCAGAATGCCCTCCTTCTAGGAATATAGCGAAGCCTCTTGCCTCAGGGAAATGTTTATTTGGTGGAAATTCTGTGGGATATATATTTTCTTTTTTTTTTTTTTTCTTTACATGCTATGATGAATGAGTGGATGGTACGGAGCGGAGTCGCAGCAAAGGTGGAACCCCGCGGAGACCTGAGAGCTGCCGGGGAGCCGGGGGTCTGGCATGCTGCCCCGGCGAGGCACCCTGCACCGCGTTCGTGGTGGTGTGGCAGTTCCTCTCGGGTGTAAGAGCTGCGGTTTACTATGATATTTTATTTTTTTGGTGTTTGTTGGGACTGTCTTGCTGAAGATGGTGGGGGTGGTATGAAAACTGTTAATCTTGTACAGAACGACTGAATAAATTGTTTCAAAGTTTCCAAAATGCTCTTTTCCATCTCCTTACCTCCAGCTTCCTGACTTTGCTTTCAAGAGTTTGCGTGTCAGCTTAGATGATCATCTCTTGATGATCTGTTTCTTGAGTGAGTAATGAATTATTTAGTGTTTTAACTCGAGTCTCTTACGTGGCAAGTATATTTACAGCTCCGTTTCTAGCCGTTGCGGTGGTAGGATTGTGTCTTCTCATTCAATGTGCTCCTGCTGATGCTCGAGGTTGACGTCTGCTGGCAAGAACGAGAAGAACGAGAGCAGCGGTGGGATCCTGCGCGATCATGTCACTCGCAAAGGTAAAACAAGGGTGTCAACCCCCAACGCCGGGGTGGATGCGCGGTGAACGCTCACGGCCGCCCTTGTTGACGGCAGTTTACTGGGGTTCGGGTATTAGCTGAGATTTGGGAAAAGGGAAACGAATGTGCTCTAGATGTGGAAGCCCCTGGTGCCATCCCAGTGCCATCCCTCTCTTCCTGCAGCTGCAGTCCCATTTGTTAGTGCGGTTCGCTCCCATCTAACGCTGCTAATTAGTGCCAGCTCTAACGCTGCTCCAGCAATTTTCCTCTTGGAAAAAGAGTCAACAGCTAAAAGGAAGAGTCTTAGTTTTTTTAACTTTGACTCTCAGCTGGCATCTTTCTGTAAAGCCAAAGAGGCTGCCGTAATTAATAAAGAAAAAACAACTTCTGCTTGGATCCACTGCGGTTTTATTTTGTACTATAAATAGAATTCCCCTCTATTTCCCATTCCCTTACACAAGTAAATGAAACATGTAGCTGCATGGAACTCCATCCAGTAAAATACCAGCACGAATGGCTTTTAACCACGAGGTGAGCTAGCTGTGTTCCGAAGGCACTCTGCGTTTGGTTACTTGCATGCTTTACACTACCCTCTTGTGTGTTGGGCAACACTGCCATCTCTTCACGTACTTCTTGGTGACCTCTGGTGGATGAATGCTCCTCCTGGATCTACGGCTGACGCCATCAAACAACATCTGCTTCGCTCTTCCCCTCCCACCCCCAGCAGCACAGGCACGCAGGTGAACAAAATGATGGTGTTTAGGGATGAACGTGGCGATACCAAACTGGGATGCGCGGCACGCCTTTGTTTTTACAGAGCTGGTTTTCTCAGAGGACGATCCCGTCGTTTAGTCGGTTGTCCGCGATGAAGCTGTCTGGCTTACCAACATGCAGCTGGCGTAACCAGCTCCTGGCTAGTCACCTCGGAGTCATCTCGACCTTCAGGCTCTCTAATGACTGCTGTATACAGCTTTTTATGCGACTGTGTGAGTATATGTTGAGGAAACTGCAGGTTCTACTGAGTCTTTGGACTTGGGGTACATCACTCCTACGGCTATTTGTCTTGGTTTCCGTTACGTTGAGCGATTCGGTAGGGATGAAGAGGGGGGAGAAGGTTTTGCTGTAGTCCTGACGAATGTGTTTTCCACCACTGGTGGTGCTTTTCTGCAGCGTATGGCAGCAAGCAGTGTGGCTTCATAGCATGGCTGGGGCAGAGGCTCTAGCATTTTGGAAGACGCAAAGGAGGGCAAGGATTTTGCAGTGATCTGGTAGTCTAACAAGTGACGCAGCTCTGACTAGCTGCTCCTAAGAAAAGTTTCTAAAGTGGAGGGAGCGATCTGTACTTCCGGACACCAAGACTGCCAACTCCTGGATCGACATCTCCTTGTTGAGGTAACTGTTGTACTGAGCCATGGTTAGCCTTCCGCTCTTCAAGGCGTCCTCAATTGAGAACTCCCTACCGGACTTTCTGTCGAGGATCACAGATGATTCCCCATTGGGACCCTTTATTGAGATCTCCTCCCAGTCACATTCCTGACTCTTCAGTTTGACAAACAGGCTCCATTCAATGAGGCCAAACACATGAGCTTCCTCTGGAGACATTTCTTTTCCTGTGTCGGGGTCGATGACCACAATGGAGCGCCTCAGGTGGTTCTCTCTTTGTTCCCTCTTGATCGCCACTGTCTTGAGGCGATTCTGGAGTTGCTCGATCTCTGCGTCTTTTTCTCTGGATAACTGCTTCAGATCATCTAACTCTCTTTCCAGAGCCTGGAATCTGGAGTCCAGGTTCATTCCACTGTCCACGTGCGTCATGTTTCTCAGATCCCGAGCTTCTGTTGCTGTGAGTTCAATCTCTGACTGCAGTCTCCTTGTTTCCATCAGCAGGTTCTGTTTCTCAAGGTGTAGTTTGTGGTTTTCCTCCCTTAGTAAGTCTAGCTCCTTTGATGACTTGGAGTTGTTGAATTCCACCTCGGAGAGCCTGGTTTCGAGGAGGTTGATATCGGTATCTAGCTCCCTCTTACGCCTGCTTTCTTCCTCCAGATTGCTCTTCAGCTTTTGAATCTCATACTCTGTGTCTCCTTTGTCCACTTGGACACTCTCTGAAAAGACCACTTTCTCTTTGACCTCCATCTTCTCCAAAGAAAGGAGCTTCTTTCTCAGGGCTTCTAGTTCGGTTTGCAAGACTTGTCTCCGGTGCTTCTCTTCTTCTAGCTCCAGCTTGAGGAGAGAGTGCTCTTTCTCTTGCTGGGGATCTTGCTGAAGGATCACTTTCTGTTTCACAGTCACTCGTTCTGTTGTCTCCCTCTCCTGTTCTTCTAACTCATTCAACCTAATCTTCAGCCTCTGCACCTCCAGTTCAGCCTCTCTGCGGGCCTGTCTCTCCTTCTCAAGTTCTTCTAGCTGACGCTCTAGCTCAGACCGCCTCCTCTGCAGCTTGCGGAGTTCTTCACGGAGGCCATCGATTTGCTTCAGCTCGCTCTCAATGCTCTGAGAGAAGGAGTTGACTTCAGCTTTCAAGGCAGGATCTTGCTCATACTTTACTACTTCCTGCTGGACCACTTTCTCCTTCACCTGGGAAAGTTCTTCCTCCTTCTGTCTTACTTTCTCTTCTTGGAGTAGCCGTTCCCTCTCCAGGTCAATGTGTTTCATCTGCTCATCTGCTAGCTGCACTCTCAGAGACTCTACCTCTTCTCTAGTCTTGGGGTCTTCCCGAAACTGCAGAATTTCTTGAACAACTTCCTTCATATGCACTTGAGGTTTGGTATCTTTCAAAGCTTGTATCTCTTGTTTCAGCTGGTAGATCTCAAGGTCAGCTCTTTCAATTGCTCCTGTCCTCTCTATGATTTCCTCCCGGAGGTGCTGTAGCTCCTTTTCAGTTTCTGGATCATTCTTGTACTTAATGACCTCCTTAATGACTTCTTTGACTTCTACCAGTGGCCCTCTGTTCCTCAGAGCAGCCAGTTCATTCTGGCAGCTCTTCAGCTGTTCGTCACCACCTCGGTACCTCCTCTCCTGCTCTACCAGCTCCAAACGAAGGTTGGCAACTTCATTTTCAGCCTTGGGATCGGGGCGCACAATCTCGCGCACTTTCTCCTGGACAACCACCTTGGTGTTCTCTTCTTCCAGCAGCTGGATCTTCCTGAGCAGCTCAGCCTTTTCCCGCTGGTTGGAACGACCCTTGGACTTCTCATCCTCGTACTGGCGCCGGAGCTCATTGACCTCTCTCTCAATGGCCAAGTCTTTCTCTACCTTCAGCACCTCC